CCCCAGAATAGACCTAACCAGGGAGGCTTAAGATATATAACATGATATAGAAATAAATGAATTTGAAAATGGTGAAAAATGAAGAAATTGATAGAAGAGCTCTAAATAAGGATGTTTTATCTTCCTCATGAGTCATAATAACCATTTAACTTTAAACGCCTCTATTTCGTTTTGGGTTCTTTGTTAGCCTGCAATACCCAGAGGCACAGACCATTTTGCAGGCTAACAAACAACCCAAAACGGGGCATACCCGTTCTTCTGGTTCAGTTTGCATGTTTTCTAAGCCGAAACAAGTTTTTGGGCTACTATGAAAAGCTTCAAACTCAACGCTAAATCTGACATTTTGAATTGAAAAAGATTCCTGGATCAGAAGCTAAATTTATTCAAACTTGGAAACCAAGTCCAGTGGATAGTTTTTTAACTTTTTTAGAAATGACTATGACCTTGATGATTGAGAATCTTTACCAGCATCAACTATAACTGATTTACTAAGATGTTTCTCACCTTGAAAGAACAGCCCACTAGGTTGCTTAATGGCAGCCGCTGATACGGCGAGCCACACCACCGTGTCTGCCCCCATGGCCTCCGTCCTCAGCTTGGACTGCATCTTGGCATGAAATGAAGGCATGGATGACTGCACAGCTGCAAGAGAAGACATAAAAACATCTGTAACAAGCAGACTGAGGAATGTCTGATATATTAAAAAACTAAAACAAAGATTTTTTTATAGTGCAAGTGCAAATGATCTAAAATGTTTTATGCAAACTTAAAAAAAAGGTTTTAAATAAGAAATCTATGCAGCAGGGGATGTGATCTCCCTGATGCGTTTACCTGGTGTGTCGGCCCAGCCAGGGTGCATTGAGGAGAAGTGAATCTCTTTGTGCTGAGACGCCCACCGCTCTGTGAGGATCACCTGTTGTCTCTGGAACCCAGGAAGAAACGCTCAGGTAAAGGGTTTCCTCTGACATCTGGATCTCTATCTGTTCGTACAGCTGATGTAAGTCAGCGTGTCGTACCTTATTCTGAGCGTAAGCCATGGTGCCGTCGAAGCTGCCTTTCTCAAACTGCAGGTCAGACACGTTGAGCTTCTGGGTCAGCATGCCGCCTGACGACACGGTGATCTGAGAAGAAGACAGCGGCATCCATTTTTTAAATGTTGCTCCTTCTGTTCACGTTTGTCTCGTTGAAACTGAACCCACCACTCTGGGATCTTCCACCTTCTTCAGTGCAGGTATCAGAGCAGTGGTGAGGATGTAGGTACCTGATAGATTAAAAAGGAGCTTTAAATATATTATCTTAACATTCCTGAAAATGCATTGGTTTTTTTTTTAACCTACCCAACGTGTTGGTGGCAAAGTTCTTCTCCAGTCCCTCCTCTGTTAACTCCCTCTGGTTAACCATGCAGCCTGCATTGTTGATCTAAAAGAAAGCACACAGAAAAAGGATAAAAGCTAAGATTCTGGGGGCGACTCTGGGAAGGGAATGTCAAATATTTGCAGACACCTACCAGCACATGCAGCTGGTTGTTTTCAGAGAAGCTCTGTGCAAACGCCCACACCTGCCGTGCGCTCGACATGTCCACGATGTGGATGTGAACGTTCTTAGAAAACAAGAGAAACAGAATGCAGGTTTTGGTGCTTTACATTTCATCCAGAGTATTTCATTATTACTATACTTTAATTCTTAATATAGAGGCCGGAAATTAATTAAAAATTAACTGATAAGTGCTTTCATAAATACTGAATACAGTTTTTTTCTTGCATTTTGTGACATTAAAACAACAAATTCCAAACTAGCAAAAGAATTAGTTCTCTTTAACGACTCCATTGTTATTGCTCCCTCTTCACTCATTTACTCTTAAAAAACAATAAAATCCAACCAATTGCGATTAAAAATCCCCTAAATGGTAAAGAGTGTCTTCCTGTTTTTTTATTCTACCGTCAGGCTTCTACTACAACTTTAGTTGAAGATCACGAAAGAAGAAGACAATAATTAAAGAGTTTTGCAGAAGTTTGGATAACAATATCCCAAGCTAATATCCACCTAAACTACAATGTCAGACATTTATTTGGAGAAACCAAACAACCTCTCCACAGACGCATTGCCCAAAGCAGAAGAGTGACCTCCTCGGGACAAAACTCTGCTGTCCACCTACATCTTAAAGGGGAACGCCATTTTTTAAATTTTATTTTTTTTTATTTGGCCCCTTGATTTTACGTTATTACATCATGTTCTACTCACCCATATGAGTTTTGTGTCATTTGGAGCCATTCTGAAGTTAGGTTATATCCAAGTTACATCTTCCTATGGGCAACGACTTGTTACTTGGTGCCTTCAAGTCGTTACCCATAGGAAGATGTTACTTGGATATGACGGAATATCTTCAGAACGGCTCCAATTGACACAAAACTCAAATGGGTGAGTAGAACATGATGTAATAACGTAAAATCAAGGGGCCAAATGTAAAAAAAAACGGCGTTCCCCTTTAAGGACAAAGGACACTCGCCCACATTTTGGATAAAGAAGACAGGTGGTTTGAAAGGGGTGTGAAGGAAGCCATTTATGTTAAGAAAAACCAACCTTAGACAGAGGGGTCTCAGGTTTCAGCTTTCAAAAACATACAATGTGTCAGGGTTCAGGGATCGGTGCTCTGCTTGCTCTCTTCCACAGGTGGTTATTGCTGACGAGTGGGCGTGGCCCCACACCTGCAGCTCGTTAAGGTTTGGTTGAGCTTAAGAAGAGCGTTCAGTCAGCTGAAGGACACCAGAGGGTTAAACCGTTGTGGAATGCCTAGGCCTTTGTCCTGTCGACAGATCTCTGTACCTGATGTTTTGGATTCCTGATTCTAACCCGTCTCCTGTCTCCCTCAGTACATTGAGCTCTGGATCGCTCATCAGCCTCTCTCCTTGCTCAGAGGACTGGTCACTGAATCCCTGCTGCTCAGATTCTGCCCTGGCGTTCCCCTTGAGGCCCCCCACTAAGTCGGACAAGAGATCCCTCTCCTGGATTCACGCTGGTTCCTTCAGCTGCTCCTCAATCCTGCCTCCGCTGCGGTGCTGCTCGGGCCCCCGCTAAGTCCCACCTGTCGCTTAGCCACCTCCTCCC